AACGGCAAAAAAACTTACAACGGTGATGGGTATTCCAGTTATCTTTGTTGGGCCTAAGTAAAAGCTCGTAACCGATGATATTCATCGGTGACGGCCCTAATAGTTATCTCAATTGGGCCTCAAGTTGGAGCCTGACACTGATGATGGACATCGGTGACGGGCTTTTGTTAGGGCCTGTCACGCCCAGAAATTCCCGAATAGAATTCCAAGCAGAATGTGCATTAAAATCCCCGTCCAGGACCGGCCGGGGTACACAAACGACAATGTTGACATTCAGATCCACGTCTTACAAACATCATAAAAGTCTTACATAAATGCAGCGGAAAAACGAAAGACAACAGGAGCTAAGCCTTGACTAGAACTGTAGCGGGAACACCACTCCACAGGCATCCTCGACGGCACGGACGAAGCCTACTCCTCGGAGAAACCTCCATCTGACACATACTCGTACTCTGGGGTTGGGAAAAAATAGAGCAAGACTGAGTACTACCCACTGTACTCAGCAAGTCATACCGGAATAGGGGTATGATGCAGGGAATTATCAAAGGGGAGCTAGAGTGGTTCATTTGCATAAAGCGAGCATTTATAAGCAGAAGTTGGAAGATTTAAACAGTTGTAATAATTAATTAATATTAATCATCCACTGTCCAACGCTATCCCACGTTGCAACAGGCCCAACCATCCACCTATACTATCCAATTTCAAAAGACTAAACTAGGGTGAGACTAATCATGGTGAATCTGGTTGACCGCCCATAACCGCGGGCACGGCTATTCGAATAGTTTTACTCTGATCAGAGGTGTACAACTGTACCCACAAGACACAGCCCCACGACACGTTTCCGTGCGCCGACATGCCACCACGACATACCGGAAAGAGGCCGTGACAGGACCCTTCGCATAACCCCCTCTAACCAAGCACACCACACCTCAGGTTTCACCCCCACTCCTCGCAAGGCAGCGGGCAGTCCCCTCTCGTGCCTAGGTGAATCCGGAAGCGACAGAGGCCGTCGCAGGGCCCGCCCCGCTCCATCACGCCCACCCTTGCCTAGATGCGTCAGCTAGAGGAAAGCTACACTACAAGCCCAGCCGTTGCCCACGCTGGCTTGTGGTAAGTACGATAAGTTCTTCCAGGGCATTCCGCGAACCGGTCCTTAACTGCCATGGGTGTGACTAGCAAAACCATGCACCCACAGCCCACCATGTGATTCATTTTAATTAACCAACACCAAAACGGTGGTACTAAACCAACCTTACCAATTGAACCTAAAGGCTATATTTTAGTGAGCTTTCCCCATTGTGTGCTAGTGGAACTAAGCATGACTAAGCAATTCCTAGTCCAAAATCTATTCATGTTATAACCCAAACTAACAAAGGAGCATGATATCAAAATGGCATATAGGTAAACACCCCATAGTAACATTATAAAACAATGCAATATTTGAAGAAAAACAATAGAGCATTTGCAATATAGGATCAACATGTTCAAGTGACAAGCATAACTTGCCTTGCTCTGCTGCTGGAGAAACCTCGGCAACTATCTCGAAGTACACCGGAGCGTCGGAAGAACCGGAATCTAGCGATATACAAGGCAAACATTGCAAACAGGCTATAAGACTACTGAAACAGAGAACAAAACCATTTTTAATGGATTCTACACATTTTTCTTGATTTACTGAGACTTGAATGGGCTTAAACGGAGCACGGGTGAATTAGTTATGAATTTTAGAAGATTCACTGTGTTTATTACTATAACAAAAAGTCCTTAAATCATTTATTGCGCAATAATTCCCAGGGCTGACGTCATCAAGGGGGGGCGGCGCCGACATGCGGGCCCCACCGGTCAGCGGCTCGAGAGAGAGGGAAAAGGGGCGCTGGCAAGCGGGCCCCACTCGGTAGCGGAGCACGGGTGGTCAGTCTACCGTGGACCGGGACCACGCGGGTGGTCCACCGCCGGTCCACGGGATCGACGGCCCGGATCGGCCTGGGGCCGATCGGACGGTGCGGTGGCGGCCTGGCTCGGCTCGGCTCGGCACAAAGCCGGCCGGCCGGCCATGGCAAGGGCGGCGGCACGCGCGCGTCCACCGACGACAGCAAGCGGCGGCGCGGGCGGCGGCAGCGGACGGCGCCCCGGCGGCGACGGCGACCGAAGGCGACGGCGACCGAAGGCGACGGCGAGCGCGGGTGACGGCGGCGCACGGGGAATCGGGGAAGGAAAGGGAAGGGGAGGGAGTCCTCACCGGAGGGGACGGCGACGACCGGCGACGAGGAGCGATGGAGGGAGGTCGACAAGCGGCGGACGGGGACCGGGACGACCTAAAGAACGAAAAGGAAAAGATTACAGAGGGAGAGAGGGGCCATAGAAAGCGGGAACGCCGGCCGAAGGCGGCGGACATGGCGACTCTCACCGTCGCACGATGGGAATGGCGCTCCGGCGGCAAACCTCGACGAAGGAGGGGTGAACGGGGTGGATCTCGGCCACGCGAACCCGACGGCGGCGACGGCGCGGTGCGGCGGCGAGCCTAGCGGCGGCTAGCGGCGGCCGGAGTGGCGGGAAAGGGGCGGCGGGTGGATGCACGGTGTGGGAGCGATGGAGAGCTCGGGAGAGTTCGACGAAATGGGGAAAAAGAGAGAGGGGGTGGCGGCGGAGCTTAAATAGGGAGAGAGGGGGCCGGACGTGGCCGGGAGGTGCCCCGATTTCGCCGGCGACGTGGGGGAGGAGAGAGAGAAGGTGGGGGGCGATTCAAAATCGAATGCCGCCCCTCTCGTGCGTAGGCGCGGCCGGAAGACGCGGGGAGAGGGGGCGGCGACGTGGCGTGGGCACGGGCGACGCGGCGTGGGCGCGGGGAAAGCGGAGGAGTGGGTGCGGCGGCGGCAGTTTCGGCGGGGTGGTGACCGGCGCGGGCGGCGGGAGGTTGGGGGAGGACACGACAGGTGGGCCCCACCTGTCGGCGACCCCGGGAGAGGAGGGGGCGGGGCGGCCTGGCTGGGCCTCGGCCTACGGCCGGCCCAGCGGAGGGGAGGGGAGGAAAGAGAATGGGCCGGCGGCCCACTCGAAAAGAAAAGGGGGAAAAAGAAAAAGAAAAAAGGAAGAAAAGGATTTTCCCTGGAATTAAAATATTGCTTGCTCAATTTTAATTGGTTAACATTATTTCTAGGGCTCTGAAAATTCCACTAAAAATCCTGTTAGTGAATTTCGACATGTAGAACTCAAGAGAAATTCCACATGCCAGATTCGATTATTATTTGTATTACTTTCTTAGGGTTTTCTCTTGATTTGCACCGGCATTTTCTTAGGGTCATTTATAAATTCAATTTAGGCTTGGGAAAGAACTTCAGGGTGTGACAGGGCCCCACAAAGATATCACCGGTTATCTCAATCGAGCCTCAACTATAGCCCATCACCGATAGGTGTCATCTGTGACGGGCTAGAGTTTTATGCACATCTAACATGTTTGTGCGGGTATATCTTTGTCGGCCTCTTTTTGGGCCCGTTTAAGATCACTTTATTGTGACGGCCCGCAAAATCCAGGCATGTGAGGGGCCATCACAGATGAGAGGATTATATTATAACTCACCTCAAGTTAAGAGTAAAAGATTCCTTTTCCCCCGCAAAAGAAAAAGAAAAAGTTAAGAGTAAAAGACAAGCTGTGTTCCTCATGTTCTTGATTCCATCTTGCCCTGGATTCCTTGGAGGTGCAGCACAGGCGACATGTGAGGAGTAGAAACAAAAAGAATATATAAATTATTCTTTGTTTCTTCCGAACAATTTAAACTGAGGGTAGAAAATGCATAAAATATATTTTGATATGAAATCCAAAATCTCCTTAGGGAACGATGGAATCTAGCATCTGATCTCTAGTATTGTAAAATTTGAAGATGGTTTTGCTGGTATTTTGGTACGTTATCCGTGTATGAGTCGATTTTTAAGTTCGTTCGTTTTTAGAAATACATATCCATATTTGAGTCAGTTTTTAAGTTCGTTCGCTTTTGGAAATATAGAAGAAGTCATATAAGAAATGCCTTTAAAAAAACTCGCATACTAACTTGAGATAATCGGACTCATAATTAAAGCTCATAGTTTTCTAAAAACATATATATCCTACCAAATTCCCACAGTGAATTTCACCTTAACTAAATCGTATAACAATAATAAGATTAAAATAGTCTTCACCTGTTGCAATGCACACGGGCATTTTTTAAAGGAAAAAGTACGAATTACCCCCCCTCCCGGAACTATCGCGATCGTCTGAATTATCCCCCTGAACCACAAAACCGGACATTCTTCACCTCGAACTATACAAACCGGATGAATTACCCCCTCGACTCAATCCGCGGTGGTTTTGGTCTACGTAGCGTACGCGTGGCAGTCCAGTCCGCGCCGAGGGCGCCGCCCTCAGCCGCTGCCACCGCCTGCCGCTGACCGTGAGAGAGAGAGAGGGGAAGAGTGAGGAGAGTGAGAGAGAAGAGAGAGAGAAGAGTGTATGATATGTAGGCCCCACATTTTTTTTATATAGAATGCTGACTAGACTGCCACGCGTACGCTACGTAGACCAAAACCACCGCGGATTGAGTCGAGGGGGTAATTCATCCGGTTTGTATAGTTCGAGGTGAAGAATGTCCAGTTTTGTGGTTCAGGGGGGTAATTCAGAGATCGCGATAGTTCCGGGAGGGGGGGTAATTCGTACATTTTTCTTTTTTTAAAAGATCCCACCCGCGACAGTGGTGGTGTCCATGTACACGGACTTGCAACTTTATTTCTTTCTAAAATAGTCTAGAGCAAACCTAGAATTAGCCCAAGGCTCGGGCAAGCCCATGGAGAGTTGGGACCTCCAATCCCCTCAGACCATGCGTAACCCAAAGGCCTTGGTCCGCCCCTGAATACCATTGATCATGGCAAGGATTAAATTGCAAGACAAATACACACCAGTTGGATAAGAAACAAGTTACAGTTGAAAATTGAAAATAAATTTGAATGTACACAATAATGAACGAATACAATAGGGAAGAATCTTATTTGTATACATTCATATATTGACAATAAAACCCAAAACAGGTTTATATGTCACAAATATGTACAAATACTTACAGATAAGAAACTATATCTGAAAAGGAAAATGGCATTGTCTGGATTACATCATAAGACCAATACAAAATTATAAATGTACAAAATAGGAAAATCATAGTTGAAATGATACATGACATTGTCTAGATAGACATCGATTTATTGTATCCTTTCTGCAGCCAGCTCACCATTTCTGATGAACCCAACATAAACTCTCTTGACATGAGAAATCCTGGCCTCATTCTTCTTCCTAACCCTGCCCACAAGCTCCTCTGCTGTAGAATCCAAAGTCATCTCTTCGAGAGTGGTCACATGCTCAATGCCGCGAGGCAACAACTTCAATTCAGGGCAGAGCAGGAGCTTAAGATCAACCATGCTTGACATGGCCCCTCTTTCTATCTTGATCAGACTGAGGTGAGGAGCTCCCCAGATCTTCAGTATCCTGAGCTTTGGAAATGATGTTGCCTGGAAAGACAGCCTCTTGCCATTATATGCATCATAAAGCTGAAGCTTCACTAGCTGCTGTAATTCCTCAAGATAGTAGAAGTCTTCTTCGTCGAGTTTCGACCAGACAAGCCGTAGAATGGTGAGGCTTTTCAGTTTACTGATTGACATGAAGAACTGAGGCAATGATTCTTTATCTAATGCCCCCTGCAAGATAAGCTTCTGAAGTAACGGAGATGGTTTCAATGCTTCAAGTTGTAGAACCTCCTGATTGTCGTTTGCGTGTATCCCGAGGCGGACAAGATGAAACATATTGGTGATTGCCACAAACAGCTTGGCACAATGGCGGCCTTGTACTTTGCTGATGCGAAATGATCTCAAATTCACCAGAGCACCAAGGTAAAAGACCATTTCAGAACTAGCTTCCATCAGTAATAAGGTCTGCAAACATCCCAAAGACCATAAACCAGTAGGTGCAGGTATGCCAACAGAAGGAACAAAATTCATAGAAGTAATCACTGGTTTCACAGTCACAATAAGATGTGTCAACTTAGATAGCCTTATAATTTCCTCTGGTAGGTTCATAATTTTGCTTTTCCAAGCATCCAACACGACCAAATTTTGAAGTCTCCCAATTGATCTTGAGATATATGCAATATTAGTTCGTCTAAGGCCCAGAAAACGTAAGTTAAACAAATCAAACACATCATTGGGTAGACTCTCAATTGAACTATCTTGCAGATTCAGGACAGACAGTAACTTCACAGACCTTGCAAACAAACGAAGTGAATTGAAACTAAGTGAATTGTGGAAAACAAGCAATGACCGCAGATGTGGCACATTTTCTGCAATTTGTGAGATATCCCCCCTTTGAATCGACAAACGGCGTGCTTTGCCAATAAGATGAGTCTTTGTGTAGTCTAAGACAAAGCAAAAGTTCTCTTCTCGTGCCTTGCTAAGAGCTAAAACACGAAATATATCATGCATCTGGAAATCATCAATATATCCAGACTCATTCCTCTTGACCTCCACTAACAAACATCTGTTAATAAGTTCGGTCAAGTAATCCTCTGCTACCTCCTCCAGCGTCTTGTGCTCACTCTCTTCAATAAATCCTTCTGCAATCCAAAGCCGTACTAACCACTTCCTTTGCATCACATAATTTTCTGGGAACATGGAGCAATAGAGGAAGCAATTCTTCATGTTGTGTGGCAAGTCTTCCAAACTAACCTTCAGGATTATGTTCATGTCAAGGATGTAATTGTTGGTAAACTGCATCTCAAGATTTCTGTACACATTCTCCCACTCCAACAAATTTGCACTCTTGAATGAAAGGAGGCGCCCTATGCACACTATAGCGATTGGCAAGCCCTTGCACTTGTCAACAAACCTTTGGGCCCAAGGGTGCAATTCTACTGGACAACTCCTGTTTTCAGACTTCCAAAATGCCTCTTTACAAAAAAGGTCCCATGCATAGTGATTTTGTAAGGGTTGAAGGTTAATCTTTTGGCTTTCAGGAGCAAGTAGAGCGACCTCATAGATCCTAGATGTAAAAATTATCCGCCCATGTTTCCCACCAGAAAATGCATCTTTGATATCAAACCAAACATTCACACTCCACACGTCATCTAAAACAAGAACATACCTTTTCTTCTCCAGGTAAAGTCGGATTGTCTCAACCAGGCTTCTATAATCTGTGACATCGACATCCTTTGGGAACTCCTTCTTGCGGTCATTCTTCCGGAACTCCGCAACAATTTGTTTCAGCAAATCATCGGCTTCATAGCTATTAGACACTGTGATCCAAGCACAAGTATCAAAGTCAGTCTTGATAGCACTGTAAACATGAGCAACAAGTGTCGTTTTACCGACACCGCCCATACCCCATACAGTAATTATCATGTGCTGCTGCTCCTCATCTTTCAACCAATCCATCAACAGCTGTTTGTTCTCAGCAATCCCCACAAGATCAGCTTCCCTCTTGAAATGTACTGATTCTGTAGATCTCTGATTCAAGCTCCCTAACCGCATCAGTTTCCTCTCCCTTCGAACACCCTTCAGGTCATATCTGCACCTCCTCTCTGCAGCACTCTTGAGGCTAACTTTGATATCCTGCAGACTGTTGGCCAACCGATACCATGTCTTGATCTGTCTGATCCTCCTGAATGCCTTCAGCAGAAACATGCCTTCGCGATCTTCTCCCAACTTGTAGGTGAACTCATCGATAACATCCTCGATGTCGAATGCAAGGCCTCTGATCTGCTTCACGAATGCAACTGTTGTCTCATCAGTATCCTTGAACCGCTCAGCGGTGCAGAAGAAGGCCTGCATGCTCTCCAGCTCCTCCTTGATCATCCGTATCTCGCCAAACAGGCCTTTCAGAGCAGATGCCTCATAAACGAGCAATGACGATCCCAGCTGGCAAGATTCATTACCCAAGGCATCACCTAGCTTCAGGATTAACGAGCCAATGACGCCCTCAGCCATGGTTGTCTAGCCAGAGCTATAAGATTCTCACCATTTCAAGTGTAGAGTCTGTGAATTGTGAGCTAATGAGTGTGACAATGAACACTGTGACTGTTCTATATGCTGGTTACTGCACAAAAAGTCATGGATGAAAAGAGGGGGAAATTGAATCTGACGGGTGTTGCGTGTGCCAATAAGGATAACCAAAGCAATTCTAAATTGGTCGGTGGACATCGCAAAAGCAGTGACCAATACTTTGTCCGGTCAGTGGATATTACCAAAGATTCAATCACATTCAGAGCCTGAATCCTATTCATCAGGCATATCAAGGAAGTTTCCTTCAGGTTCAAGTCAATGCCCCTGCAATGGAATCTTATCCATTTCCAGCAAAATACAACTTACACCACAAGCTCACTTTCTCAGAACTCTTCCGGTGTCTGAAGAAGCTACAGTAACAATTTACAACCGGAGCATCGCTTTCAAGCCCATGTGGATGCCATGAATCTTGAATATACAGCCGATCAGAAAGTAAATCAAATATTCGTGCCGTGGTTGATGATGGGGATACAGACAAATTAACAAATTAAACACTATGACCTGGTTTACCTCAGCAGTTGGGGAATAAAAAAGATGATGGAATCTAGAAGCCACTGGTTCCTCCGCACCTACAAAATGATTAAATAGTGAGGAAAAGAAAGGAAATAAAAGGATGGCGAGCAAGAACATAAAAAAGACAGAAAAATAACCTGCAGATGTGGATTCCGGCCTAGGGCGCAGCCGATGAGCCGCCGAGGATATCGAGTGGCCGCGGCGAGTGGGTGGCTTGGTGCGGCCGCGGCGTTTGACGGTTTCTTTGCGACCGGAAAACCCACGCCGCGGCAGCGGCTGTGGCCAATCGCCATGGGCGACCCACACAGTATCCGTCGATGGCAGTTTGTGGATAGCCCGTAGCCGAGGGTTTTTTTACTCGCAAAGAGGAGGAGATTTCGAAAGGGCTGCATGATTTTTTCGCCGATAAAACATTAAATTTTATTGAAATTTAGGGATGCTAAATTGCCAAGGCGACTGGATTTTTCTTGATTCGTAGTGCGAGAATCAAGATTTCTAGGCAAAATTCCTATAAGTCAGATGCGAAATTTCTATATTTCAAATTGTTTATTGTTACTATAAAAATGTCTCTATGCCAATAAGACTATTGTCGATATTTTTGAGAAAAATAAATGCATAGCCAATAGTATATTGTACAAATTATTAATAAACCCAGTTTTACATTAAAAAGATAGGCCACGCCATTCACAATACCTCCTATTATGCCCACATCTGTACGATATATATTTATATGTTACATGAATTGGGTCATCTTTAGTTCACCCCCAACTACCCTAAACTTCCAACTTTCCATCACATCATATCATATCAAAAACTTTCCTACGCAGATAAACTTCTAACATTTTTTCTAAACTCCCAACTTTCTTCAAACTTCTAACCTTTTTCAGGAACTAAACACACCCTTGGTCTAGTGCTTGACATTGGCCTATCACTGCGTACGCGATGCAATAATGAGCCGTATGTAGTTAATACTAGGGTGAAAACAGTACAGAAACTTTCCAAATTCCAGACCTATTTTCAAAAACGGAATATATCGATCGGAATTTTTTGGAAACGGAAACGAATTCGAAAATATTTTCTCGGAAACGGGATCGAAAATGATAAGGACAGTTTCCGTCGGAACTCAGAATCCGATCGGAAACTTTCCAGAAATTTTCTCGGAATTTCCAAAAATTTTGTGACTGAAATACCTTGGATTCTTTTTTGTAAGAACTGAATATTGAATATCATGGTGTTTGGTTGTTATTTTTTAAAAAATATTTGCTATGCAGATCTGAAGTTACATATGAATTTTTTTTCTGCATTGGGATTTATCAACATCATTACTCTTTTAAACATAGATAATTTATTCTATAGATTGTGTTTTAAGATTTACTGTTGAGACTTAACAATTGGACTTGTATGATTGTGTTTTATGATGAATTGTTGACCGTTGAGACTTGGGAATTGGATTTATCGGTTTGAGGGGTTTTGGTATTCCGATAAATTTTCGTTACCAGCGCCGATTCGTTTTCGCTCCGGGTTTTCGGTTTTGATAATATTCGATTTCGTTTTTGTATCCAGGTTTTCCGATTCCGATTCCGAAAAAATATGAAAACGAAAATAAAAAAGATAGTTTCCGTCCGTTTTCGTAGCGTTTTTATCCCTAGTTAGTACTAGTAAAAAATAGAGGCCTTTTTGTAATGTGCATGCATGCATCAGGATGGATGCTCTGGCTATCAATACCGTAAGTTTGTAGATTGCACGATCATCTCACACTCTCCAATTGTTGATATTGACACATCACTATACGCATATGCAGTCTATTTAAGGGCGATATTGCCTTCTTGCATCTAAATACCCACACAAATGCAAGGCGGGCGCTGCACATGAAGCAGCGCTGCACCGTCGGTGGTGAACATGTATGGCACACTCACATATTTTGTTTAGGCAAAATTTGTTGTAGGACATCGAAAGATAGCGGTCTTTGCTGTAAGATACCCGAAAATCGTGTATTTGCTCATAGACACTGTAAAAAAGTGGTAATTAGCTGCTAGACACTCCTCTTATTATTTTATTATTTCCGGTCGAAACGGAGAGAGGGACTTTGGTTAAAGACAAGTTTGCCCATGGGCCCACTTATCAATCCCTCTTTCTCTATTCTTCTTCCTCTCTTTCTCGTTTCATCTCTTCCTCTCTTTCTCTGTCGCGGCACAATGGGCAGAGCTCCACGGTGAAGGTGTGCCTCACGTCGGAGCTGCTGTTATTGCTATCGTGCGAGACGAGCTGCTTGGACGCGACGACGCGGGTGGGCGACAGCAAGGTGACAAGGTCGATGAGGCGGGCGGAGTGGGAGCGTGACACGAAGAAGTCGAGCCCGCCGACACCGCGCGCCGTGCCGACACGGAGGGCGTCTCCAGCGGTGCCGTGGGTGACGACCTACTGCTCGAGGTGGAGCAGCGTGCGGCGATGCGACGCGCGCTGCCACACCTGCACGACAGCGAACCAGCCGCACTGGTTGGGGGGTTCGGCCAGCGCCTGTGCCCGCGCTCTTGCCATGGCGCACGCGTCGCAGAGGCGGCCGTGGACAGCAAACTTCACGACGTGGCCCTGCTCCAGCGTGACGCGGCCGCTGTCGAGGAGGATCTCGCCGCGCGGAGGCGGAGCATGAGGCGCTTTGAGTGGGGCTCGGTGAAGACGAACTCCGCGGCGGCGAGGACGATGCCGAGGCGGGCGATGTGGCGGTCGACGTGGCGGAGGAGGAGCCTCATGAGCTCTAGCGACTCCGGTGCGGTGCGGAGCCAGAGCCGCGGCGGGTGGAGGTAGGAAGAGTAGGACGGGCAGCACACCACGTCGACGTGCGTCGGGAGAGAGAGGAAAAGAAAAGAAGAGAGAGAGAGAGGAAGTTGTGTGCCGGGACGCTGCCGTGCGTTGTCGCCGTCGGCAGTGAACCCCGGCGATATGCCGCCGCTGCCCCATCGTGGCTGAGCCATCCCGGCTCGAGCCAACCGCCGTCGCGCCTCTGCTCTGCTGCGAGGAAGAAGAAGGGGAAAAGAAAAGAAGAGAGAGAAAGAACAGTATCTAGGGCATTTTGGTACTTACACAACTATTTCCTCCCCTAACCGGAAATAATAAAATAATGGGAGGAGTGTTCAGTAGCTAATTATCATTTTTTACAGTGTCCACGAGTAAATACACGATCTTCGAATGTCTCACAGCAAAAGCTACAATCTTTTGGTGTCTTCTAGCAAATTTTGACTTTTGTTTATACAGAGATTGATGAAAACTCGAGCTTCTACGTCGGTGGCGTCAACGCGCATCTTTCACCGAACAGTCTTCATTTTGCTGATCGCTGTCCTAGGTCAAGCTGGTCATTCTCAACAATAAAAGCATCAAGGAGATTAATTAAAATCCTGATTTGCGTCTTCGTCAAGCCGATGCCGTCCGTAGAAATCATGAAAAAGCTAGCGATACCTTCTCTGGAAACTATATGATCAAGATTAAAACAACGGATTGTACGGATGCCATGCAATCCGTTCTGATGTAATTATCACGAGGTCGTATTATGGCCGGTGCAAATATCATACAGTTCTTTTGCCTCAGTGTGCCACTCGCGGGAGCGATTATATTAAATCGAGCTAGGAACTCTCTCCATTCTAAAAAGAACTACTTCTATATTCAGATTTAAGTCCAAAAGTGCAGATTTAAGTCCAAAAGTGAGTTTTTTTTGAAGGGAGGGATATAGATGGCCATAAAGCTCAAGGCCCGATGGCCCGGCCCAAACATAGCATGACATGACTAGTGTCGGGCCAATACCGGCCTGGCTTGACAGTGGCACGGTGGGCTGGCCCAGTACGGAACGGTCCAATGAGTAGAGAAGAAAACTATATAAGGGACCCAATATAGACTTAATGCAGTCATACTAGACTTTTTATTTCCCTTCGTGAGAAGATGTGAATAGTTGGCCTTTTTACATTGAATGAGCGGTGACACGGTAGGAGTTTTTTTTTTTTTGGCTAGGTTAATATATTTCTCCCTTTTCAATAGAATTTGTAGTCTCTAGAATAAACATGGTTAATCCTTTCCTAGCTCGGGGCTGCCTATGGCTCGGGCGCCTGACGATTTCAAGAAAAATCGGACGCTGATGACCGATTTACGTGCAAAAATATTTTAAACTGATTTTTCTCGTAAATTACTTATACAAATCATGATCCGATTGCACCATTAAATTCGTTGTAATTAAATCTTCAAAACAAAACCACACATATATATATTCTGACGAAAAAAATTAGCTTATTATTGATTTTTTTAAATGTTGCACGATGTTCCACCAGATATATCAGAATTGTCTCACTAAGTAGATCAAAAATATTTCACTCGTTTAAATCGGGTGTTGTTTCACCTTATATAAAATAATGTTTCAGCAAATAGCGAAAGAATGTTTCAGTTCACTGCAACATTAGATTTATACACAGTGAAACATTGTGATTACATTAGGTGAAACATTTTTCGGTGGAATAAAAAATAAACCAAATTCTCTTAATAGGAGTTTTCCAAAATATGTGGGTTTTTTTGTTGCAATGGAATATTTCGTTCACTGCAACATTAGATCTATACATAGCGAAATATTGTGAGAACACTAGGTGAAACATTTTTTATGGAACAAAAAATAAACTAAATTTCCTTAATAGAGAGTTTCTAAAATATGTGGGTTTTTTTTGTTGCAAAAGAGTATTTCAATTCACTGCAAAATTAGATCTATAAATAGTGAAACATTATAAATACACTAGGTGAAACATTTTTCGTGGAAAAATGGGGGAAGAAGTGGGTGGATCCAGATGGGGAGAGGGGAGCGTGTGCGCATGGGGGGAGGGGAAGCGACCGATTCTTCCCACCTCCCCCGGTTGCCCGATTTTAATCAATTTCGGTAATATATATATATATATATATATATATATATATATATAGTTAGAAAATATCAAAGAAATAAATAGCAATACTGACTAGCTGAGTGACTGTCATAGAGATACAAGCAAAGGAGGAGAGAATTTCAAAAAAGTCATCCGAGCTAAGGCGACCACCGAGCACCGAGAGCTTCACCAGCACTCAAAAGACACAGGAATGCAAGTAGCGTAAAGGGTTCACACTTTCGGAAACCACTGAAATTTGAGAGAAGCGCTATTCCACGTTCTACAACACGGAATATTAGTTCGAGCGTCGCACAACGCCCTCTCCTTTCGGTTTTTCCCTTTTTTACCACCCCACTTTTCCTCCGCATCCCACCTTTTCTCGGTTCGTTTTTTTCGTTTTTTACCACTCCACCTTCCGTGTTTCTTTTTTCTCTTTTCCATCTCATCCGTGCTTCATCAATGGGCCCGGTAAAATATTTTTCTGTTTTTCGTTCCTTACCTGTAGTGTTTTCGCGTTTTAGTAAAATATTTACCGTCTTGTTTTTCTTTTCGAGTTTTCTGTTTTTCTAGTA